CACACACACACACACACACACACACACACACACAACCGCGTGCACGCAACCACACACACGCGCACACGAACACACACGAACACACACACACACACACACGCACACACACACACGCGCGCGCACCCACACAGACACACACGTGCGCGCACAAACACGCACACACGCACACACATACACACACTCACACACACTGACACATACACCAGCGCACGCACACACACACACACAAACTAGAGAGTTCAATTTTTTTTTCTAATCAATCAATCAATCTATCAATCAATTAATCAACCAATCACAGTCAATCAATCAATCAATCAATCAACAAGTTTGTGTGTCTATCAAAAACGAAATAAAGAAAGAAAAAAGAAAAAAAAACGGCTTTGTTTTTTTTTTCTTCATTATATTTTCTCTTTTTTTGTTCGTTTTATATTTGCGTATGTAGGGAACAAAAAGGAATAAAAGAATCATGTGCACCATGATTATCCCAGCAGCAATCCGAAAAAAATGAAAAAAACAAAGTTCCCCCTTTTTTTATTATGTTTCTTTTGATTTGAATACTTATTTTTTTCGTTTTTTTTTTTTTAAATCACAGAAACAATTAAAAAAAACAAATTTTTCAAAACCTACAACCGCATATTTTTATTTATTTATTCCACTTATCATTCTAGGAATTAAAAATGTCGGGGTTTTACGGCCGCACTCGACCCGCGCAGCTGCCCCCCGCGGCTATGATCTCGACCTTATGCGGTAATCGGGCCTGCGGTCATGACTGTGGGTGATACATAGCCCCCCCGTTCATGAACGGGGTTACGGCATAGGTCTGGCATGCCTTCCTACTTCCACTTGCCAGTGGAGAAGCGGAAGGAGATGGAGTTGCCTCTCGCCTTTGAGAAACCGTTTTGTGAGGCGATACAGTGGCAACTGAATAAACCGTTGATGACCTGTGACAAAACACTGGCGTCCGAGGATCTGACCGGCGGAGGTGGGGAGACAACTAACAATGCCACTCCCGGGAATCGTGGTTCGGGGAGAAGCGGTTTGGGCCGCAAAACGACGGAGGATTTCGAGGCTGCATCCAAGAGACAGAGAACGAACAACGGCAAGGCAAGAGTGGAGGGCATGAGTTATGGGGGATGGCCATTGGGGAGGGTGATGGAGGAATCAACGAGAGCGTATTGCGACGGTCCCGACAAGGCCGCCTCCACTTTGGTGAAGGCGACATCGGAAGTCGGTACGACGATCGCGCCAAGAATAGGTGACGTCACAGATGCCATAAGGGGGGCCAACATTGTAATTGAGATGCTTGTCGGGGTTCTAGTCTGATGGGGAGGCGGGTGGAGGTATGGTGATGACGAGGGGGGGATGCAGACCCCTATATCGTGAAATAGAGCCACCCGGTAAACCGTAGGCAGAGAGGGAGAAGAGGACAACAGACGAGGGGCTGTGACGAACTGTTTCGTCGGAGTTTCACCGGCTATATATAAATACTATGTGTCCGAAATCGGATTCAACGGGGGTCTTGAGTTGAACGGTTCAACTCCCATTCAACTCCCGTTTTAACTCCGCGTTAAACCGAGTTGAACGTGGTACAACTCGGCCCGCAGATTTTGTTTTTGCAGGTAAAACATAAGTGAAAAAAACAAAAAAAATATGGGGGTGTAGATTTTTTTGCTCTCTACATCCCCATATTTTTATTTTTATTTTTTGAGCATTAAAATTATTTTTAAAAAATCAAAAACAAAACCAGACTCAAAATATATATATATATATATAT